TTTGAAATCATCAGTTTCAATTTTTCCTTGGTATCTAGAGCCCTCGACAATGGAAAGGAGGATAGTGAATCTCCAAGGGTGAAGATGTAGATGGTGTTGAGGGGATAAACTCAGGCTCTTCCTGACGCAGTCTGGCCAAGTTTTAGTCAATCAGAGTGTTTGGAGGGACCCGAAAATAGTCAGAAACTCTGCAGCAGGACCTAATCATGGAGGAAACTCAGTGCATGGAAGAGTCTCTAGAGGCTTGGGGATTTTCCAAAGCTCGGGAATTCAGTGAAGCAAATTCACATGCAAGGGATGACCCGACCTGCAGGGGGAGGAGTTCTGGGAATTAAGCCGGAAGCTATTTGTGTTTCTTGCAGCAGAGTCTGAACAGAAATTGTTGAAGTGCCCAGCATACCTACGATGACAAGAGAAATAGGAGACCCCGTGCTCTTATGGGTAATTCAAATGTCTGGCTCCTCCTGTGGAGCATGGTGAGAAAAACTAGAGTATTAGATACCAGATAATGCAGTAAGGTAAAGCAGATAGTGGAGAAAGCCATGGCAACCCACTCCGTTGTTCTTGCCTGGGGAATCCCATGGACAGAGGAGCCTGGCGGGCTACAGTTCATGGAGTTGCAAAGAGTTGGACACAGTTTAGCAACTAAACCACAACTTTGAAACACCAGTAGTGTGCTGGGTTCTGGAGCTCTATGAGCAAGAAGAACTGACACTTCCTACTAAAGGGAGTTTTCATCCTAGTGACTGGGTCCAGAGACGTCTGTCCCTAAACCAGGCAGATTCAACCCTGGTGCTCCATGCCGTGATGGGTGGACAACAAAAAGAATCATGATCAAGCTTCCTGGTCTAAAAAACATCATCACCAAGAAGAAAGTGAGGTTGGGAAGAGAAATTGTGAGGAATTCAGAGAAGATGATGCCTGAGCAGAAAGCTTTGAGCAGAGGAAGGGATCCTGAGATAAGAGCACCCCAATGGGGATCACGAAGCAACGGCTGTTTTCCAAGCCTGATGACAGCTCAATATTTTCTTCCTAGAGAGGAAAAAATGAAGGGAAGAAAGAGACCTGAAGACGTGAATAAGGGACTTCCCTTGTGGTCCAATGGCTAAGAATCTGCCTAGCAACACAGGAGACTTAGGTTGGATCCCTGGTCAGGAAACTAAGATCCCACATGCCTTAGGAGCAACTAAGCCCATGTGCCACAACTAGAGAGTCCATGGGGTGCAACAAAAGATCCCACATGATGCAGTGAAGATTCTGAGTGACACAACTGAGACTCAACACAGTCAAATAAATAAATAAGTGCAATTTTTTAAAAAGATGTGAATAACATGAAGAAGTTTGGAAAGAAGCCTTATAACTGTCTTCTTTTAACTTTTGGAAAGCATTTGAAGGAAATACAGTTAGGAGTCTTTCTCCAAACCCCAGTTCAGTTCAGTTCAGTGGCTCAGTCATGTCTGACTCTTTGTGACCCCATGAACTGCAGCACGCCAGGCCTCCCTATCCACCACCAACTCCTGGAGTCTACCCAAACTCATGTCCATTGAGTCGGTGATGCCATCCAACCATCTCATCCTCTGTCGTCCCCTTCTTCTCCCACCCTCACTCTTTCCCAGCATCAGAGTCTTTTTAAATGAGTCAGCTCTTCACATCAGGTGACCAAAGTATTGGAATTTCAACCTCAACATCAGTCCTTCCAATGAACACCCAGGACTTATCTCCTTTAGGATGGACTGGTTGGATCTCCTTGCAGTCCAGGGGACTCTCAAGAGTNTGCTTTTTTGATGGTCCAGCAGATGTTAGCAATTTGATCTCTGGTTCCTCTGCCTTTTCTAAAACCCCAGTTGGGAGCTACCAAAAGAGAATCACCTGAAAGGGAGAATGAAAGACTGCAGGGAGGAGAAATGGGTCCCATGACCTACCTTGTGGAATTGTCAGATTGGGCATGGGCACATCATGCAGGGTTTAGACACATATAGGTGCTGTCACACACCTGATGGTATAAGGCAAGTGGTTCATTTATGGGAGAGCCTCTGATCCAGAAGAATCTCCCATTCACTGTCTTAAAAGCCAGTATCAAGAGATTTGCTATAATTAGCAAGACAGTATTTCTGCAGGGTTAAAACAGGACTGTCTTTAAAATCTAAGTGTAAATTCATTTTAATCATCTCCTTTCTCATCCTATGGGTTTCCCTGGTAGCTCAGATGGTAAACAATCAGCCTGCAATGCAGAAGACCCAGGTTCAATTCCTGGGTCAGGAAGATGCCCTGGAGAAGGGAATGGCTACCCACTACAGTATCCTTGCCTGGAGAATTCCATGGACGGAGGAGCCTGGTAGACTGTGGTCCATGGGGTCGCAAAGAGTTGGACATGACTAAGCAACTAACATGTTTATTTACACTTTCACTTTTCTCATCTTATGCCTCAGCTGCCACCAAGAAATGGGTATTTTGAGCAGGGCACCTGAAGGAAAGGACTGATATTTATCTTTGAAGCTGTGGACACAACAGGAAGGCCAGAGTAGCTTGGCTCTGTAAGGAGACTTCAAAGGAGGGAAGAGGAATAGGAGGAAATGGTCTAAAAGGAAATGTTGAGATGTCTTAATGCAGAACAGGACTCTGTGAATAAAAGACTGTCCCTGAAGGAGTTATGGGAAACTCCAAGGATCTGAAATCATCTCACTAGCATTAGCATTCAAAATTCACTTTTTTTTTCTTTTTCTCTTAATTTAAATTCTTCAAATAAGGGACGCACACTCCCCTCTCTAGCTGATTTACAGAAGAGTGAAATTCCAAGACAAGGTGATTTGGGGCATGCCCTGCTCATATATCCTTATTAAGCTCAACCCAAGGCCTGCCTTGAGAAGAGAGTCCCCTTAATCCTGTCATTGTTGCTATTTGGAAGAAATATGGAACAACATATAGGCATCATAATTAAGATGGATTTTTCTGGAACTGACCACATTCACAAGAATCACCATTCATGTTCATATTAGCTGCTTTTTTCACCTCTCAGATTAAGTTTGAGAAACCATCTTTCTAGTTTAACTCCCCCAGCTGTACCCTTTATCATTCTCCATATATCATCCTCATTCCCTAGAGATGCATTATTCTAATGTATTTTCAGATATGATTAAGGAACATAGGCCCTAAAGTCAGACTTCTCAATTTCAAATCCCAGCTGACCTTCTGCCTGTGTGACTTTAGTTGAATTATTCAATCTCATTAAATCACAGTTTCTTAATTTGTAAAATGGGGGTGTTGATAGGAATCATATAACTTATTTTTTATTAGAACACATTAATAGTTGATTTATAGTGTGTTAGTTTAAATGTACAGCAAAGTGAATCAGTTTTATGTAGATCCACTCTTTTGTAAATTATTTTCCCATACAGGTATTTTCCCATACAGAGTATTAAGTAGACTTCTCTGGGCTATACAGTAGGAATCATATGACTCTTGATGTTACTAATGATGATTAAATTTATGTAGACTGTTTAGTACAGAGCCTAGCTCAAACCAGACACTCAATGTGAGTACATTTTATTATAACTATAGGAAAATGTTAAAAGCTTTGGAGGTACAGATAATACTTTCCCACTTAACAACCATCATCTCTGTATGTGTTTTAATTTCTTTGAGACACACTGAATCTAACAGGGAATATGCTTCAGAGACAAAAAATACTCTCATCAATCATTGTACCATTTTGCCTTCTTTGGTTCTGCAATATTTAACTTTACTCTTTCTTTATATTTATGAGATTCTCTGCTAAATTTCAGGGCACTGTTTGCCAGAGTAGATTTTTAAGCCTATCCATCAGTTTGTCATGACTCTGATGGGTCTCTAGAGCAGAGAGAAAAAGAAAGACATAAAATCAAGATCTTTACGAGGCTGAGGCAAAAGAAAAAAATTGTGCAGGAAATAAATAACACTGGGCTAGCAGTTCTATATCTCTTTATCTATCACTGTATTAGTGCATAGCATTAAGTTTGTGACAACAACTTTAATCATTCTTTTTTCAATTTGGAAATTGAGTAATTGAATAAAATAACCTATAAGACTGTTCGCACAATGCTTCCCTGGTGGCTCAGGTGGAAAGAATCTGCCTGAAATGCAGGAGACACTGGTTCAATCCCAGGACTGGGAAGATACCCTGGAGAAGGAAATGGCAGCCTACTCCAGTATTATTGCCTGGAGAATTCCATGGACAGAGGAGCCTGGTGGGCTACAATCCGTGGGATCGCAAACAGTAGGATACAACTGAGCAGCTAACACTTTAACAGTGTTCCCACTTTAAGATAATTTGGTTTTGCTATTTTGCCTCCAGGAGCTATGAGATAGTTACTATGTAAGATGTAAAGAGACCTGAAACTTGATTCCTGCCGGATAAGTTAAAGGATGACTTGAGTAGGTAAAGAGGACAGTAAAGGGCATTTTGGACCTCTGGACCCAACTTGAGAGGGCCAAAAAAAATGAGCAATGACTTGGAGAAAATTTTTTAGTGTGTCTGTTTACAGCAGAAGTATTAATGTTAGAAAGCGAGAGTAGGTTTAGCATTGGGCAAGACCCTGCATGTCAAACTCTTAAGAAGCATTTGGCTGCTACTGGAGTATTTTGAGCAGGTGAGTATACTGCAATGTCAAAAGGCGTCGTTAGAGAAAAAAATCACTGGTCAAAGTTGACAAAGCCAGTAGTTTGTAAATTTGAGATTCTCATTAGAAAATACTACTCCAACACTCAGGAGAGAAAAAGATTCGTATTATTAATATTTAGGCTGTACCTGTATACATGTGGGCGCTACACGGGTGCTCCATTGCTCACTCATGTCCGACTCTTTGCGACCCCATGGACTGTAGTCCGCCAGGCTCCCCTGTCCACGGGATTCTACATGCAAGAATACTGGGTTGCCACTACAATATTGTAAAGTAATTAGCCTCCAAATAATAAAAATAAATGGAAAAAAAATAGAATACTGGATTGGGTTGCTATGCCTTCCTCTTCTCTTATGTCTCCTGCTTTGGCAGACAGGTTCTTTACCACTAGCGCCACCTGGGAAGCCCATATGATACTGCATCAAAGAACAAAAGGACAATTCAGGTGATCTTATTTTAATATGGATGTTTGGATGAACTTTAACTTAGTTTTAAATTCAGGCAAAACAATCTGCGTATGTAGACTCAGCCTCCATCTCATGTTTTCATGATTTAAAGCTTCCTAGTGGACGTCAAGTGATATTTCGTCACTAAGAACCAGTGCAGCCCTGTCCTTTGGGTCTTTTCCCGTAAATGAATTGTTCATGTGGACCAAGTGTGAATGGCTTTTGAGGATATTATCAAGGATGTGATCAGTCAAATGTGAAAACTCAAATGCATTTGGAATTGTTTGGAGCTTTTTCGAGATACAGTAAAGGTGTTTGTTTGTTGGAGGATTTGCTTTATTTTCCTAGCCAAGAGGTCCATTGACTTGCAAATAACGTGTATGAATCTCTTGTGTTTTCTTCCAGGGTCTTTCTTTCCTGATTTCAGGCCCTCAGAAACCGTTTTTAAAATAGCATTTTGGCTCGGTTACCTAAACAGCTGCATCAACCCCATTATATACCCATGCTCCAGTCAAGAGTTTAAAAAGGCCTTTCAGAATGTCTTGAGATTCCAGTGTCTGCAACGAAAGCAGTCCTCCAAACATACCCTGGGCTACACGCTGCATGCACCCAGCCACACCCTGGAGGGACAGCACAAAGACCTGGTTCGCATTCCAGTGGGATCTGCAGAGACCTTCTATAAGATCTCCAAGACGGATGGGGTCTGTGAATGGAAAATTTTCTCTTCCCTACCCCGCGGATCTGCCAGGATGGCAGTGGCCAGAGACCCATCAGCCTGCACCACTGCCCGGGTGAGAAGTAAAAGCTTTTTGCAAGTGTGCTGTTGCCTGGGGCCCTCGACCCCCAGTCGTGGAGAGAATCATCAGATTCCGACCATTAAGATCCACACCATCTCCCTCAGCGAAAATGGGGAGGAAGTCTAATGAACAGGAAAGGTCAGAAGGATGGGAGGGTGATCCTAGGCAACCGCTCTCCACTTCCTTCTGGAAGGCCAGCTCACGTTCCGTGGATGCTGAGAGACAGCCAGTAAACCAGGGACCATCTGGGAATGGGCTGGGGAGGAAGCTGACTCTGGGGCAGAGGTAGGGCTTAGAGACAAGGGAGGATGTCATACCGCCATCCAGCTCACTATGATGGGAAACAGCATTTCCTTGAGGCTAATGCTTTCTGGGTCATTCTCTGAGCCTGCTTTCTATGCCTGCCCCTTTCAATGACAAACACCATGGGAAACAGAATTTCATACACAATCCAAAAGATGATAAATATAGGATTATGATTTCATCATGAATATTTTGAGCATGCACTCTAAGTTTGGAGCTATTTCTTGATGGAGTGAGGGGATTTTATTTCCAGGCTAAACTTGTGAAAGCCACATTGGATTTTTATGGGGAGAAGGCCTGGAGAGGAAGAGCCTTAAGATGGTGGCCAATATCCAGACGCATTATTTTTAGAGCAAGTTTTACAGTCCACCCTTTCTCAGCTTGGGTGAAACTTGACAGTGAGATTTTATTTACCTTTTGCTGCTGCTTGACAGGATACTGCTCCCAATTCCCTAAGGGTGAGGGTGAGGGACACTTATTATGTCAATGGTGGTCTGCACTTGGGTCTAGAGAGTGTTGAAAAAACCAGTTGGGAAAAGGATGGCTTTTCCTAATGGAAGACAGTAAGGATGAGAGTCAGTTCTTCAACTGACAATTCTATGGACAGAATTCCATTAAGTGGTTCCAAGATCAGGTGGAGGAAGACTTCTTGTTTAGCATATTTAAAGATCAAGAGTTTGGGGTGGGCTGGGTGCTACTTTCAAGCTAAGTCAGAGGCTGCAAAACTACTCCACAGCCTTTTCAACAAGGCCTAGAAAGGCTTTTCTTGGCAAATCACTTATCTTTTCCAGAATTCCATTATGAAAATCCAGGGCATATAATACGTTGAATGGCATATCACCACTGCCATTTTTTCTCAGCTGCTTCACTACTAAATGACGAGTGAGGTCCCCAGGACACACGGAACAAGCCAGAATAAGCCTGATGATTCAAGTACCTCCTTCCTGAGCTCTGAAAGATACACGTAGGAAGATGCTCTCTGGTCACTTTAAGCCCATCAAAAGCAGAAGTTTGCAAATTGTTTTTGACAGAAGCCTATTTATGCTGAGAAAAGATCCAGTCACCCATTTATTGAACCTATTTCCACTTTTTACAAGAACTTGGTGGGGGGGAGGGAGTGATTTTTTGCTCTCTGTATATCAAAGTTTGGTAAACCTCAAGAATTCAATATATTACAAAGATACAGATGGTGACTATCTGTAAGAACTAAAATATTTTCACATTCCACAATAGGAATTTAAAAGAAGATTTATGTTTTTGAAATAATGCTTGACTAGAATCACTGGTCTATAACTTCTAACCATTTCTATGGTCTATTTCCCCTATTTGGGATAATTCCCTCTAAGAATTTAAAAACAGATTATTGCCATTTTTACTTTTTCATTTATTTATTTATTTATTTATTTTTACCACCTCACATGGCTTGCAAGATTTTAGTTCCCTGACCAGGGATTGAACCCAGATCCTTGGCAGTGAGTATGCAGAGTCTTAACCACTGGACCACCAGGGAATTTCCTATTACAGACATTATTTAACTGTCACTGCAAAGGTAGTAGCACCATCATCTTTTCCTTCTTTCCTTGCAGCAAAGTGATAATTTCCTGAAATCCTTCTAAAAGGCTAATTTGTTTGCATACTGCCATGATAGCTATGTTTGCACATCGGTTGGAGTTTGGTTGTTGGTTGTCTTTTGACATAGAATGTTACTGCTTTCTCAGTCCTTTCTGGAAAGTGCCTCGTTGTTGTCCAGTTAGACACTCTGCCTTTTGCTTGTAACTTGGACTCTGGCAGTAGATGCTTGAGGGTTTCTAGACTCTTCTGGTCTGTTTGCACATCTCGCGATGGCTCTTCCAGATGTGGGTGTCATGTTGTGCATGGAGGCACGGGAGAAGGACTTGACTACATAAACCTTGCTTCAGTTTCATTGTTGAGAATAACTTCTTTTAGGATCTGAATTTTTAAAACTACTTATACCAGGCTCACCCTTACAGGAAGAACAACCCCATGAAAAGAAGGGTAACAGTTTTTCTTCGCCAGAGTATGACTCCATGTTTGAGCTGGTCTTTAAATACCTCTGGAGACAAATTTAAATTTTAAATACTAAAAAGCTTAGGGTCACCAGAGAACTAGCTTTAATGCGACTTCTAATCAAATACAACAATTTGAAAACCTTCCAGTCATCAGATAAAATCCATGACAATTGTATTCATGTAAAACTATCCATAAATAATTGTCTGCTACACGCTTCTCCATCCCCAGGCCCTCCAGGGAGGCAAACTTTAACATTTTTTTCCTTTCCCATGACTTGACATTAGGTAGAAACAAACCAGTTTTACGAAAAATTGATAATGTCACCCAAGACTTAGTCAAAGCGGGATAAACAATACACGAGTTATTTTTTTACTCATCCACAAAAATCTCTGTACCTTGGAGCATGCCAAAAACTCTCTAAAATTGTCACAGTTAAACAAATGATCGTCATATTTATACTCACATGTTTACTGCTTCTATTTGGAGTTTGGAGAATGTACCCAGAGTAACAGTGATCAAAATATCTTCTCTAATGTGTTATAAAAAGCAGTTGCTTTTGAGATTGTCTAAACATCAGCAAAAAATCAACTTGACATTATGGGATAGGTGAAACTTGAGTTTCTTCTGCAATTCAAATCGCATGCATTAAGAGAGACCTTGAATCTCTTTATTCAGGAATTTCCCCAGACCTTTGCAAGGATTTCAGAAAAGCATTTTACTTGTTACGCTTTCTTCATTTTACCTCCCATTAGGGAGGTCTCAGCCAACACTGCTTCTGCTTATAATCACTTGGGGTCTGCTAACATTCTCCAAAAGGCTTCTAATGCCCTTGCCAGCTGCTTGGATTGGTCCCTCCATAGTGGACAGTGTTATTTGGGTAAATAAATATTTTCTTAAGGTTTTCTTCTTAGGTGTTACTATGTGCCAAGCATTGGCAGAACATTTCACATCCATAGTCTCTAAATGTCATAGCAGTTCTACTGTTCTTACTTGAGAGCCAAGAAATTTGATAGTTAAATGTGATGAATGATTCACCCAAGGCCAAGGAGGAACCACGATTTGATCCTGGGTCTTCCAAACCCTAATGTCTACATGTTTTCCACCAACACCTCAGCCTCCTAAGTAGTAAAAGTCAAAGCCCCCAGACTGGAGTTGGATATGCTGATGACACTAAACCATTTTTGTCATTGTTATTGTTCAGTTGCTAATTCATATATGACTCTTTGCGACCCCATGGACTAGCCTACTAGGCTCCTTTGTCCATGGTATTTCCCAGACAAGAATACTGGAGTGAGTTGCCATTTCCTCCTCCAGGGGATCTTCCTGGATCATGGATGGAATCCGTGTCTCCTGCATTGGCAGACTGATTCTTTACCACTGAACCACCAGGGAAGCCACTATACTCAAACTTTTGAATGTTTTGTTTCTTTGGGATTTGCTTCCAATTAATCTCAGTAAATATGCCGCCAATTTTCCAGCCTAGCCAAACCCAAGAGCAGGTCATAATTGTAAGGATTTGGCACCTACAATTCTAACTATCAAACTGCACCCCTTTTGTAGGGTATTGTGACCTGGAATGTTACTGAGGCTTTGCTTGACGGACAAATTATATCAAACTGGGTGAAGATGGACATGTAAGAGAAGGCAGAAGAGGCTTCCTTGGCTTAGAACAGCAAACACATTTGTGGATACAAAACGCATTGTGCAGTGTGTTGAAGTTATTGATGACCAGCCACAGTTCATCAGCACACTTTAGGGAAGTATAGCCCTTTTTAAAATAAATAAAAAATAAATACAATATCACTTTCTTTCACCTGTACTCCAAAAATAATTTTTTTGAATTGGAGAGAGAGAATGAATTAGAGATACTTCACCAGGAATTATAGAGTCCAGAGAGTATGTCAAACATGTGAATTTCATGTCTGTCACCAGGAGGAAATGGTTCAGAAAGCTGGTCTTCAAGTACCCAGAGACCTGGGCAATCTTTGAAAATGAAGACTCAGGTGGTAACTATAGCTACTTCTTAGATGGCATCCTCTTGCTCCTGGATTTCACAAATGAAAACTTCTAAGTCCTGAGCATCTTGGTTACCCCCACCCCGCAAAATGAATCATCACGCAGACCTTCTGGCCCCATAAGTTTCATGATTATGGCCTGGGAGTCAGAACATGTTAGGAACCCTTTGCTTGGGCAAGTAATTATTCACTTTTTAATCACAGCTACTTAATCACAGCTTGACAAACATTCTCACTTGCTTCGGGGGCTGTTTCTGCTCAGATCGTCCTGCCAAAAGAGACGCTGCCTCTGTGCATGAGTACTTGTTCAGTTAATTAAGGAGAGAGCTCTGCTCGTCAGTGAAGGGAGAAGGGAGCCCAAGCGCATGGAAGGTAAACTCTGCAAGCAAAACCAGGGAGACTGAAAAAGAAGGCAGCAGTGGTAAATATGGTGGCATCCAAGGTGTGCTCATTTGTTACTCTGATTTCTTTTTGCACTACTAGGACTTTTAACCATCAGACTAGCTGCACACAGCTCTGGTGGAGCTCCGGTTGGAACACTGTTGACATCTGCTCCCTGTCTGCAAACTGTGCTGTGGAGCAGGGCTGAGCCCAGGCTGCTGTGGGGTCCATCATCTTCCAAAAGCAAGGGCAGCAGTGGGGGCCTCTGGCCTCCAAGTCCCTGCAAGATGAGCGAGTACAGATGACTGATGGGGCCAGGCTGTCAAGAGCAAGCTGAGATTCGAGCAGAGGATGCCGGATCTTGCCAGCAATCCTGTCAGCGTTACCTCTTTCCCTCCATCCAGACCTCAATGTCACTGGGGCTGTGGATGGATCTTGTCTGCTCTGTACAGGAAAAGATCATGTCTTGGCTACTGCAGCATGGACTACTGAGTCTTCTACCTCGAAGGAAGGTCATGACATTGGAAGAGGGCTTTGGAGGAGGAGGAAGACTTACCTTGGACATTGCTCAAAGCTGTTCGGTAATGCGTTGCTGCAACTGCTCAACAAGAAGCTTCCCTAAAGCTGTTGCTGATTCATTTCCAAAGACAAAACAACTGTCTTTCCTCTACTTGTGGGTCAGGAGCCACTACGTTACTTGCCCTCCATAGCATAGTCAACGTGGCATGTCATGAGCTAGAAATGATTATTGCGAAACTATGAGGAGTCCATATTTAATTAGGTATAAATTCTGAGAACAAATTTGTACTATATTTGGCGGGGGGGGGGGCGCAGAAATGAAGGCTCTGATCTACAAGAAAGCGTGAATACAGTAACTGCATTCTAATGTGATGGGCTTCCGCAGTGGCTCAGCAGTAAAGAATCTGCCTGCAATGCAGGAGATACTGGTTTGATCCCTGGGTCTGGAAGATCCCCTGGAGAAGGGCATGGCAACCCACTCCAGTATTCTTGCCTGGAGAATTCCATGGACAGAGGGATCTGGCAGGCTATGGTCCATGGGGTCGCAAAGACTTGGATACAGTTGAAGTGACTGAGCATGCATGCACATTCTGATGTGATAGAAAAGAAACTACAGACAGTCCCAACAGAAATTTAATATTTTCTTCTTTTTATATATTTCATATGAGTCCAAAGTACATTTGTGTATCTCAAGTCCTACCCTGTGAGGTAGGAAGAGAAAGAAGGAATAATCTTTATTAGCATAAGAAAAGCCAAGGGGAGGGATGAGGTTAAGCTGAATGATTTCTTTGAATATCTTCAAATCCAGTCTCTGACTTCTTTTTCCAAGATGCCTTCAATATCCCCAAGGTCCACTGCGTTTCTCAAGACCCTGACATTCACATTTCACTCACTCACCTCTGAGCCGTATTTTCAGCTCTGTTTGTACTTTCTCTCCCGCTGTATCTCTGCTGGTGGCTAGGCTGATCAAGATTGTTCTAGGGGCTGAGTGCATATTTGTCTAGGCTTCTCTCATTGGCTAAAAGACAAGCAGATGTTATTCTGCTCATTCTCCCTAGGTAGGCAGCAGCAGAGTTAAGGAAATAAGCAGGGCAGGAGGGGCTCTTGGGTTGCTCAATGGGGTCACCTGTCAGGCAAAGACAGAAGTGATTGACATCTTAAGGACGTCAGGAACGCAAAAGTCCCAGAGAGAGTTTTGGGCATGTTCATTTTCCTGTGAGCCTGAGAGTTGTATACACCCTGATCATCACCATCAGCAAGTTGTTCGCTTCTTCTCCTGTACCAGGCGCTGCATTTGGCACAAGAAGAAAAAAAAAAAAAAATACAGAAAGGCACAGACAGTCCCCAGCTTGTGATCTGGGTGTGTTCCAAACTCATCTGTTGCATTTTTCCAAGAGGCATTGTTATAAATGGGGGTGGGGGAGGATGTTCTCAGATGAACCAAAAGCAAAAAATAAAAATCTATTTAATATACACCTGGGTTTGGCCAACATTTTCGGCAAATGGCTAGATAGTAAATAATTTCGGCATTGTGGGCCATACAGTCTCTGTCACACATTCTTTGTTTGAAATTTTTTGTGGGGAAGGGAGACCCTCTAAACATGTACAAACCATTCGTAGTCCACAGCCTGTACCAAGAAAAGCAAAATAACAACAGACCATGGGCCATAGTTTTCTATCCTTGATCTCTGCCATCATTTGTTTACAGCGTAGTACAAACAATGCTAATCACTGGATTTGGTTGTTCAATAGCAAGTTGGTTTTTTTTTTAATGTTCAATAACCACGTCTACACTTGATTACATCAGCATCTCCAAACTGTACAAATTGTTAAGTAAAGTGACAGCATTCATGTTCAAGGCTGGAGCCTGCTCCAATATGACCTGCCCACCCAAAAGATACACTCCAGTATGTCACTGTGATTTTCAATCTCCACTCCTACTGCTGCATTCTGCAGAGCCAGCAGTTCAGCAGAAGCCCAAGGCCATCCACATGGGTCTTTTTAGCTCTTCCCCTCATTGGAGAAAATACCCCAGCACAGTCTGGCTGACTCTGAGAGCAGCAACAGCCAACCACAGCCACTTGACCAAGGCCAATGTGAAGTTCCTCCTGGACTGCTGGAAGCTGCTGTAGGGAGATCCTCACCGGGCTCCCTGGGGAGGCCTCCTGACCACAGCACAAGTACCCAGGCAATTAGGGGTCCACTACTGGAGCTCACCAGGACCTGGGGTCCAGAGGAGGTGCTGGACAGGCAAGGAGGTCAAACCAGTCAATCCTAAAGGAAATAGACCCTGAATATTCATTGGAAGGAGTGATGCTGAAGCTGAAACTCCAATACTTTGGCCATTTGATGCGAAGAGCTGACTCATTGGAAAAGACCCTAATGCTGGGAAAGATTGAGGGTAAGAGGAGAAGGGGGCAACAGAGGATGAGATGGCTGGATGGCATCACTGACTCGATGGACATGAGTTTGAGCAAGCTCCAGGAGTTGGTGATGGACAGTGAAGCCTGGCGTGCTGCAGTCCATGGGGTCGCAAAGAGTGGGACACGACTGAATGACTGAACAACAAGTTACCAACAGAAGCTCTCCTTCTCCTCCCCCCACCTCCCTTTCCCTTCCCCTTCCCCCTCCCCCTCCTCTTTTTCCTCTCTTCCTTTCTGTTTAAGTCTGAAATGACCTAACTGGATTCAAAATGGCGTTACTATGGAAACATATTTAGCCCTCCCCTGGGATAGCAGAGCTCTATTTTTCTGAGCTGGGGCTTTGTGGGAGGGGTTTCCTCCCCATCCCCTCCAATTCTGATAGGCAGTGGGGGGAGAAAGACAGTCCCAGCTGGAAACAAGGTGTGCAGTTCCCTTGGTCCAGGACAGGGTGTGCACGGCACTAAGAGATGAGACTTGGCAGAGAGAGGGATGGGATGCGGCAGGGGGCAGACCTGATGGGGAAGGACCTGGGAGCTTGGAGACCAGTCAGGCATAAATAACACTGCCAGCGGCAGGCACAGAATGGAGGACTGGGCAGACACTGCGCCTGCTTGGCAGCTTCCTCTCCCTCCTCCCAGCCCTGTGTCTTCACCGTCTCCCTTCTCTGCTTCCCCTGTCCTTCCTCATCACTTCCTCTCTCTGCACCATTCTACCCTCCACCTCTTGTGAAACCTATGATGATGTTGGGGTGGGTGCCCTGACTCCAGAGGGTGCCAGTTCCAATGGGGTACAGTGCTGGCAAGCTGGTGCTTCCCTCAGCTGCTGCACCCCTCCCACGGCAGACCACCACCTTCCAGTGAGTCCAGGGCAGGAGAGGCCCCCAGGCTGAGAGCACAGGGGAAGCCTCCCCAAGGAGGACCCTTACCATCTGGCAGGATTGCTGTCTTTGTCTTCTTATACTATTAGTTCCAAAGGAAAGCTACAAGCACCATGTCCAGTCACATCTCAGAAAAGAGTCAGAAGTGCTATTTGCTCTGCCCCACCCCTCGCCCCAGACATATGTCTCTTCTTTTACCAGCTGCTGCATCCCCCTCTCTGATGTTCAGAAGTTTTTACAGACCCTACAATGCCCCCTTCTCTTCCTCTTCTTCATCATTTGTCTCTGGATTTTGTTGTTTCTTCCCCTTTTCCTTTCCCTCTTATGGTCTCCAGGGTCTTGATTAATGCCATAAAGTAAACTTGGTTTCATGTCAGCATGAGGCAGTCGTTATTCCCCCAGAAGGGATGCTGTGCTGTGCTAAGTCACTTCAGTTGTGTCCGACTCTTTGCAGCCCATTGGATGATAGCCCACCAGGCTCCTCTGTCCGTGGGATTCTCCAGGCAAGAATACTGGAGTGATACTGTAGGTAGAACTCAACTGGATGCAAGGTGTTCCTTCATTCCTGATGCTCCTATCCCCATCTTTATCCCCCCCAGCCCATCCATTCCTGGACTGTGTTCCTGGATTCTTTCTCTTCTTTCATCATATTCACCAGGAGCCTTCTTACTGTAAGAAAAGGATCCTCTCCTACCAAACATGTGCCTGCTTTTGCTGACACAGCTCTTAGCATTTGTAATCCCTCCATTTGCTAGGGCCATCATAACAAAGGACCACATACTACTTAAACAGCAGAAATTTATTCTCTCCAAGTCTAGAGACTGGAAGTTCAAAATCAAAGTGTTGGCCGAGTTGGTTCTTCTGAAGCCTCTCTCCTGGACTTATAGATGGCCAGCTCCTTCTTGTATCTGCACACAGCCTTCCTTCTGGATGTCTGTGCCCTAGCTTCCTCCTCTTAGAAGGACACCAGTCCTACTGGATCAGAGCCCATGCCAATGACCTCATTTAACTGCAGGTACGTCTCTTAAGACCATACCTCCAAATGCAGTCGCATTCTAGGGTACTAGGAATTAAGATTTCAGCATACAAAATTTAGGGGAGAAACAATCCATCCCCACTGTCTTCTCTCTTCACATAAAAATGTATCCATAATTCTTTTCCCAAATCAGAAGTTCAAATGCAGTACTTCCCAACGACCCTCTCCACGATCCTACAGCAGTTATCTATCACAGGCATTTGGCAACTACTGTGCACTTTGGGGGCTTCCCTGGTGGCTCAGATGGTAAAGAATCTGCCTGCAATGTGGGAGACCCAGGTTCAATCCCTGGATCAGGAAGATCCCCTGGAGGAGGAGGTGGTAACCCACTCCAGTATTCTTGCCCAGAGAATCCCATGGACAGAGGAGCCTGATGGGCTACAGTCTATGGGGTCCCAAAGAGTCAGACACAACCGAGTGACAAACACACTTGTGCATGGTATTGTGATCTTTCCGTTGCTTTTTAAAATCTATAACTCCTTTTTCACTGTAAAATGTGCTTTACACCCTACCTTTATTGGTTGCATGTTCTCAACTAGATGGAAACTCTGGGAAAGCAGAAACTGTCATATAGTTCCATATGTGTACAGCAGTCCTCAGCACCTAGGTGTCATCTCTGAAGACAGGCTTTCCTAAGCAGGCCAGGAGAAAGGGGGCAGAGAGAAGCCAGGGGCCACTAATCCAAGCACTAGTAAGAGGCAGGGGCTGGGAGCTGGGAGGCCAGGACCACAGGTGCTGAGGAACACCAGATAATCCACCAGGGAAGTCCAGGTAAGAGTTCATAACAAAAGGCTTCTGAAAATTTGCTGCAGGAATGTAATCAGAATGCAGAGCCCAGCAGTGGGGAATCCCAGGCTAGTTGTCTCCAGACTCACATGCAAACGTGGAATCACCCTCAGAGCCACCAATGAATGGAACAGACTCTAGACCCTGAGAAAGGGTGAGACAGAGCAGGATTGGATCAAGAACCAAAGCCAGGGAACTCCCTGGTGGTCCAGTGGTTAAGAATTGGCCCTTTAACTGCCAAGGGCTCAGGTTCAATCCTTGGTCAGGGAACTAAGATCCTGCAAGCCCTGCAGTGTGGCCAAAAAATAGAAAATGAACCAAAGGCAGAATGCTTTGGTCCTGGGAATTGGGTCACTGAGAAGCCACATGTAGGAGGCTGTGGTTACCATAGGCCCCCATTCCCAGCAGTGGCTAAGTTATGCTATTTTAATGATGTCTGCCCTACATCAAGATTAGCTTGGAAAACTGGTGCCAACCAGCCTTTGGATAGCCTTTCCTCTTTTGTCTCACAACACAAGAGTAGAGGAAAGCAGGATACACTGACTTGATTGGCTCTGAGGATGTATAGTCATTCTCCCCTCACAGGCCTTTTAATTCCAACCAGAAGACCACCTCCCGCCCTCACTGCCCAAACCCTCAGTGACTATATAGTGTCCAATCTCAGAGGCTGCTGCTTCTGCCTCTTGGGAACCCCCAGCCCGTTCCCTTAGAGCACCGGTGGCCTTAGAGGACCTTGGTCTGGTCCCCTTGCTTCTCTTGAGAAAATCTGATCCCACTTCTGTTTCATCAATCCACCTAAGTCTTTCATTGTAGACAAATTTATTACCTGCCTGGTGCTTTCCTGACAGCCAAAGGGCGATGCCTTCTCTTCTGCCTGGATTTTGCTGAGTAGCGCAAGCCTCTGTTCTTATTTTGAAGAATCAGCTTAGCATCTGTTGTCTCGCTTTCTGGGTGAAGAACCATCCACTTCAGTTTCCTGGTCCCTTGCCTTCTCCCCAGAGACCCTCATATTGGAAGTGTTTCTGGTTCCATGCTATCTACCACAAGGGAACACCGTTTTGTCCAGAGTAATGTGGTTTGCTAGCTTCAGTCCAACCTAGAAATTATAGGAGGGGTAAAATCCCATGAAAAGGCAGGTCCTACAAAAGCACTAAAGTGTATTTAAACCAAAACCATCCAAAAATAGTTTTGACTGAGTGTGGCAATGGCTTATTGATTTATCCAATAGAAAGAAAAAACTATCTTTCTTCCTCACTCTGGTCCTCTTGCCTTTTGCTAAACCCAGCATTATTGTCCTAATGAATAGATTTCAGCTCTGCAGCTTGGCTAATGGAAATCTCAAGAGTAGGAGGG